AATAGGTATGGGTTTCTTTTTGGGATGATGAAAATGATCTAAAATTTAACTGTAGTGATGGTTGCACAACTCTGTCAGGACACTAAAACTCATTGAATTATACATTTATAAATGGGTGAATTTTATGGTGTATAAATTATGCCTTAACCTTTTAAAAATGAAGTCTAATACATGCTACAATGTGAATAAACCTCCCAACATTATGCTTTGTGAAAGAAGTCAGACACAAAAGACCACATATTGTATGATTCCATTTAAATGAAATGTCCAAAAGAGGCAAATCTGCAGAAACAGAAAGTAGATTGAGTGATTGCCTAGGGCTTGGGTTGAGGGAAGACTGGGAAATGAGGTTCCTTTTTGGGATAATGGAAATGTTCTAAAATTAGATTGTGATGATAGCTGCTCAAGTCTGTAACTATGGCTAAAAACTATTGAATTGCGCACTCTACATAGGTGAATTTTATGATATATAAATTATACCTCAATAAGGCTATAAAACAACTTTTTTAATGGCCTGGGGATTGACATGGTCAATTTCCTTCAGTGTGGAGATGGATTCGAAAGGGGCTAACGTAGGGGCAGGAAGGCATGTTAAGTTTTTCCAATGAGAATTAAAACTAGCCAGGTTTTTTTCAGTTTTAAATTTTAATAGAAACAGACGTTTATTCTCTAGAAGACTGTGATGATAATGGTTTCCCTAGTCAACTGCTTACCACCGTCACCGTTTTGGTCACAGCCGCAGCTCACTATACCTGTGTAACAGGTGATGCATCCAAGGGGAAAGGATGCTTTCATTTCCGTATTTTGAGTTTAATGCCTTAGTGAGTCAGCTAATTTAGAGGCAGGGGATTAATCAAGCTGTCAGATTATTTCCTTGAAAATAGAGACAGCAGAAGAGATAGTAACCTGTGCCTTCTCAGTTCATCAGGGCAGCTGTTTAAAATGTTTTACGCCTGTAGTGCTTGTCTCTCTCCTTGGCTATAATTGAGGCCTTTCTCTAGTTAGATGTACAGGAGGCTCTTTTGTAACAAGTGGTTAGTATTGACATGTTAAAAAAAAAAGCAAAAGCCTACTTCCTACTCACTCCAAGGCCGCTCAGCAATAACTTGCACCTCATATAACAATACAGGTATGAAAACCGATTTATTTTTAGTCTTCTTTCTTCTTAGAGAAAGATACAAGCAAGCCATAGTGTTGTAATGTTACAAAACTCAATACAGATGATAATCTTTAACTGTTGGAGAGATACATTAAAAAACTAGTATACATATTGTAAAGTAAAAACAGCCACTTAAACACATATAACTAGGTGTTGGGTTCATTCCTTGATTGTTTAGAAGGACAGCTCCCCATGGGAAATAAGAAAATAGATTAGTGTATTCCTTCATCTGGTGCTATGGAGTGAGGATTGCCCAGGATTCTAAATGATTATGAAGGTAAGGGAGTGACGGAGGGGAATGTAAAAGCCAAGTGATACCTAACAAGCTCAGCCTGACGGAGAGGCTGAAATCCGCCGAGAGCTCACCATGGTCGCTGTCGTGCTGGGGCTTTGTGGAAGCATGCAGCGGTGTTCACCTATGGTTGATACATACTTTGAGCTTTTCCTGGAAACCTTGTCAACAGCCTTTAAATGCTCTTTTAGCCTTTGTTAATAAGATGGTTCTCATATCCTTTAAAGGCTCAGGTGTTTTCCTTTGCTTGAAGGCAGAGACAAACCTGGGCAGAATGTGTTACTGTTCTTGGAAGGGAGCCTGACCTTCTCCAGGGCCCTGGGAGAACAGCAAGGATCAAACAAGTCTGGGAGAAGGTGCTGAAAACATAACAGCTCTCGGACTCAGATTGAGGAGCCGGGGTGTGACACATGGGACTGAAAACCCGTGGCCATTTATACCAACATTCTGAGGCCTTTTGCCTTGATTGGGGATTCCTGAAGTCAGAGTCCTGTGGAAATGGTAATTAGGTTCAAAGTATTATTTAATAAACAATCTCACCTTGACCATTAACAAAACAACTTGCTACTGCTTCCTCTGACAGCATCTTATTAAGCTATCATTGAATTGATCCTGGAAAGAATATTGCTGACTCCTTAGGTCCATAGACTCTGAAAAAGGTGGTCAGTCCTTTGGATTGAGGGACTGGCAGTCCAAAGAGATGGAGAGAGGGCTGGACGGCGAAGAGCTAGATCTAGGGCCCACCCTCCTGGACGTGTTCTGTGTCCTTTCTCTGTACTGCAAAGCCGCAGAAAGGGCAAGGGCTCTGGTATCCATGTGTGAGCACGTACCAGCCATGTGAACTCATTTGCAAAGTGAACAAAAGAAAACCAGTCACGTAGGGTGTTTTGAGGGTGAGGTGACATGTTGAACATTCATCACTGTGCATTTAATAAGAACCCTCTGCATAAGAGCACGGGTGTTGTTTTTCCTATTCTCTGCCTCATCTTTGATGAATTCTACTGCATTGGGAGGAAGTAATCATTATGGCCCCGATGAAGTATACTACCATCCTGGGAATTACAATAACATTGGGTACCAGATGCTGCTACACAAATCAGAAGCCTCAATGCTGAATTGAGTTCCTGACCTAGAGGAAGAATAATGCATGTGAAAACAATTTGTACGATATAAAATGCTATAAAAATGTTAGTTTTTGTTATTATTAATATAACTTAATCAATTTTTAATGATTTTTAAGGCAGCCTAGTGTAGCTTTTGCCCAGAGGATTAAGACAAAACAGCTTTGGTAAAAACATATCTTTGTGCAAGAGTAGCCCTTGGCAACAAGCGGGGTAATTGCTTAGAAACAGCTGCCTTCTGGTAAAAAGGGAGAGCAAAAATAAGTGAGGAATAGTGCCAAATAGTTTTGAGAAAGGCCTGCACTAAACCTTTGCTGCTCCTGAGAGAAATTCTCAGGCTGTTGGAGAGGAGTGGTCTGTCACCCGAAATGCCATTTTGTTTGGATGAAGCCAGATTCTGAAGCCTGTCTGGGAAGAGATTTTTCTGGAAATCCATTTTTTTTTTCTTTAAGTCATTTCTGTGTCATTTTGAAAGTCTGAGGGTGGACCCTGTGGATCATGCACATTTTAGAAAACTAAGGCTAGTCAGCTGTTCGACAGACTGAGATGTCACCCAGTCAGGGGCCAAGGGTGTGCCATCCACTAGCTCACTTGTGAAGGTCTATTCTGCTGTGGGGGACGGAGGCACAGGCCTGCAGTTTCACCAGTGAGGTGGTAATGGGAGATCTTTTGGGATTCCCCAGGGTCAGGTAGAGATTACCCTTAACCAACACATGTGCTGAAAATCCTTTGGTGGGGATGAGGTAAAGGAAATGACTTTTATGTGGAAGGTTTGGTAGGACCCAGGTGACTGATACTGTTGATGATATTAAGGGGTAAACATGTGTGTGTGGGTGTGTGTGTGTGTGTGTAGTGGGGATTACTGTTGAATGTACATGTGTTTTATTTAAAATAGGATTTTTCTTACAGTAGCATTTTTTTTCTGTTTACAAAAGAAGTACAAGAATTTTGTAGAACATGTGGGAAAATATAGAAAAGTAGAAAGAAGAAAATTAACATCACCCACAATTTACCACCAAAAAGTAATTAAAAGTACTGCATGGGTGTCAATCTGGGCTGGAAATGAACATGGAAACATGAAGATCATTGGTTTGTTAAAATAGTGGGTAAAGAGATTTTTTCTTTTGATTTCAGTTTGCAGTGATTTCTTCTAGTGCTTTTAATGGAAATATATGTGTGAAAGAGAGCTGCAATAAATTGGTAAATTTTATAAACTTTAAAGAGTACAATTGTGTACGCCGGTTTGTTTTCTGTTATTTTCACATTAAGTGTATTGAGATTTTTCCATTGTGAATAAACATTTTTCTAAAACTTGATTTAATGGCTCCTTTGTTTTCCATCATGTGAATAGATTGTAATTGATTTTAGAAGTTTCCTATTGTGTACATTTAGTTTGTTCAGTTTTTTACTATTATAGTTAACACTGCACTTGATATTCTGATACATTGTGTTTATGTGAATCTCTATTGCTTCCTCGGGATAAGTGCTTTGAAGAAAAATCACATGACCAAAGGAGATACACATTTTTCATGCTCCTAATACATATTACTGGACTGCATTCTGAAAATACTCTGTGAATGGGAGACGTTGGAAGAGGGACAAAGAAGGAGGCTGGGAGTCCATGGTGAACTGACCTGGAGAAAGAGATTGGGAATCTCTCTGAGAGGGGCCAAGCAAGAAGACATGAGAGGATTCTCAGAAAAGAAGAATCCAGGAATTCCCAGGGATTTGTGCCTGAACTGGTGATAAAGTCAGGAAAATGAGCTGACCTTGAAGAGGAGGTTAAAGAAAATGATGTGTATGAAAAATGTTTCTTGAACACATACGGGCTTTCGAGAATTTTTCTAGCGTAGCTTATTATCATCCTAGTCACTAATGAGGAACTTGAGGCACAGAGAGACTTTCCCACCATCACACTAATCTAAGTGGCAAAACACAGATTCAAAATGATGTCTTCTAGTGCGAATCCCCCATGGTTCTCCACTTGAATTTTCCTATACCCCTAAGGAAAGAGCTTGGCCTGATGTCACCTGTTCTTACACTTTGTGATGAAGCAGAATGCCCTTCCTCATCTTTAGGGTAAGAGCAGCTCCCACAAGACTGGCTGAAGTGAGAATGAATGAGGCTGAGAAACAAGAAAGGGACAATTTCTGCAAAGTGAAAGACTCTATTTTAAATTCAAACACCACTATTATGTCATTATATATTATTGCTAAGCATAAAAGATTTTTAGGAGGCTCTGCTCCTAGTGCAGATCCATAAATTGCAGGTGAGTGTGAGGCTCTGTGATTGATTGAGGCATGACAATTAGGTAGCAAGTAGTGGCAAGCTGAATCCACTGGGATGTGGTGTGCACACACTCACTGTAACGCTGTATCAAGGCGCCGCATTAAAACTTAACACTAGTCATTTCCCCCAAACTTATTAAATGGCTGGCAGAAAGAAATGCTTGGTTCTAGGATTGCTTGGTTTTTTATGGGCTGAACTGAGCATTGAAGGCAAAGAAGAGGAAGAACAGACTTGTCGGCAAGTTTGATTTGAATGGGTGTGTAGATGCCAAAAACCATTCACTTGTTATTGGAGGACTGTTACCTACTCACTCCAGGACCATCCCAGCTAACAAGACTACTTTGGAGCCAGTATCAGCAAAATGTGAAGAGTAAGCCATTTTTTTCTGTCTTCTTTTTGTCTACGTCAGTTGCAGGAGCTGGGGGTGAAGGAGTGGTGGGTCTGGGACTGGAGCCGTGATGCCAGCCCTGACTATGACCTTATTTATTTGACTCAGGATAAGTACTTCCTGTTTCTCCGAAGTAGATATTCTAGGATTGTGAAGAAACAAGAAAGAAATTAAAAAGACAGGTTTTGTATGATATAGACATTGCTCCTCAGGGGGTGGTCTGTGGACTAGCAGCATCAGCATCGCCTAAGAGCTTGTTAGAGAAGTAGAACCTCAGGCTGCATCCCACATCTGCTGGAGCAGACGCTGCACTTTGACAAGACCTCCTGATGATTCACGCACACATTCAGGCTTGAGAAGCATTGGTGCAGAATTGTGCAGTGTTGCTGCTTTACTGCGAATTGTTGCTAGACTGAAGTCTCCTCGAGTGAAAATACACAGTGTGGGGATGTGAATTTATAAGCTAGTATTCACAGCGAGCTTCCTTTAGCTGCAAGGCTTCTGCCTTACTCCTCTCACCCCAGAATTGTCATGTCAAGAAATGGGATCCAGGACTGGTAATCTGAGTTTGTTTGCTAAGATCCATTGTAAGAGAGGCAAACATGGGTTATATTTCTGGGTGTGAAACACACACACACACACACACACACATTTTTGCTATGAAAAGAATGCCAGAAATTAAAAGAAAGGAAAAAAACAGTCCACACTATTCTACTACCATAACAGAGCAGCTCTTTCCTTTTCGATTCCCTGTGTTCGTTCTCAGCTCTTCGTATAAATGCAACCATAATTTTTGCATAGTTGTGGCCATGGCATGGACACAATTTTATACTGTGCATTTTACATCATGTCTTAATCACTTCCATGATGCTTGCTGCATGGTAATTATAATTGTAAATGCATGCTGTAAAAATTTTGGCAACTTCTAATACAATTAAATCCTTACTGATCACAGCACCTTTCCTTTGATCGTATTTCATGCTACATATTTGAAATTTCACTAGAGGGATGAACATACTGTGATACTGTTGGCAATAGGGAAGGATTGTAGTCAGTCCCTACTTAACTCTTTCCTGGACCTTCTAATTCTTTCCTATTCTTACAGTGAAGCAAAGGGAAGGGAGAAAAGTGCTTTTGCTCATGGCTGTGCTACTTAGAGTGGGCTTATTTGTCAGAGAAGTTTTCACTTATTCAATCTTTAATAACATAAAATGAAAACCAGAGTTTGTCATAGTATATAGTACAGTAATATTTCATCAACGGAATTACTTAACTTGTTCTTCACCCTTCATTGCAACTTCTGAAGATTATCTTCCCAGCAAGGTAAAACGGAAAAACCAATATAGACTTCTTTTTAAGTAAAAATTACCCCTCCCCATTAAAACATAGTTTGACCTATCCACTGTGGTTGACACAGTGATGAGAAGTGAGTATGTTCCATTTAAAAAATAATTCACTGTATCAGGGATATTTTGATTTCCCTCTCTAGTCTACTTGTTTTTATTTAGTTTTCAGAGTAGTCTGATAGTTGCTTTATATGTTCTGTCTCAGGATCTTAACTGTAATCAATGAGAGAGAGGGTGGTGCGTGCTTACTCCATCTTAACTCGAAGCCTCAGTAGCCTTGAAAGGATTACTTCAGCATCTTCTGACTTCCAGTGTTGCTCCTTAGACATCTGATGACATTCTAATTCATCATATTTTGTGTGAAATTTGTTTCATGTGGTCCAGGGCTTCTTAAAAGCCAGTTCTTCCTGAATGTGGATCAGTGACACAAGGCATCATTGTGGGGGTTCTGCTTGTCTCCCAGACTGTTGACTGAAACCCACATTGCTCATCTTTGTGCCGTATCGGGAGAAAACCTCCCAGCACTGAATTCTTCCTAAACACACCTGTATGCTTTGGACATGAACAATAGTCCTTATTTACATAGTTTGATACATTTTCTTTAAAATTAGAACTATGTAATGCATTTTCACCCATAACCATCAAGAGTTTCTATCTGTGCCCAACCCCAGTGTTTTTCCAGGCCTCTGAACTTTCCTCCACCTGATATAACGTTCCCTCCTAATTGAAGAGTCCTCGCAGGGGGCCTGGGTGGGTGGCATTCAGGAGCCAGGCTGGGCCTAATCTGATAGTAATTTCATTTTGGCATCATTAATTTTTACCTATAACTGGTCTAGATATGCAAACTGGAGTTTGGAAAAGTCTCATTTCTAAACCTACAATTTTCACGGGATGCTAGTTTTGGTTGGCCATCAGCTTAAGTGTACAGAAGAGGAAGATTTTTTTTTATTATTTTGAAAATGTTGCTTAGAGCAGAGAAAGACAGTAAAACTGAAGGAGGGAGGGAGTATTTTAATTCTTGTTTTGGTTAATCTAAACAAAGTTAGGATTTAGAGAAATTTTCTGGGGAACAGAAGGTATATACACTGTATAACAGTACTATGGGTGTCATCATGGAAATCAACAAATGAAAGAAAAATCACCCTAAATTCTACCCTTTCAATAATTATTCTTTGCTCACCTAAGATTTTTTCCTGTTGATAGTTATCCAAATGCTCCCATAATTTGTATGTAGTTTTTTTTTAATGTTGAAATGAGATTTCATTGGTATACAAGCTAAGGGAAATATGTTTTGCAAGGTACTGTATTTGCAGTGCAAAACTTTATATGTAGTTTTAATTATAGCATAGAAACAACTGCATACAGACTGTTTCACCTAATATATGCATGCTGCAGTGTAATTTCTCTAATTACAGTGTTTTTAATGATGGAAAATGTTCCCATCATGTCAATGTACCATAATTTATTATCACTGGGCATGTAAGTTCTTTCCAGTTTTTCAATATTATAAATAAATTCGTGTTAAACAGTTTGGGATATACACAGTTTTTTTCCTGTGGGAAGAACAATTTCTTCAGATAAATTCTCTGGTGTAGAACTATTGATTCAAAGTGAACATTTTTCTAGCTTTTGAAATGTATTGCTATCTCACCTTTAAAAGATATTGCTATATTTATTTCAAAAATGTGTATGCCAGTTTATATTGCCACCCTTGTAAATTTAGAAGCCGGCTGTCTTGAGACGATAAAGCCCTTCATGTTCTGGCTCCTCGTTCTCCAATCTCCTCTCCTGCTGTCATATCTGTTTCTACCCTGTTCTACAAGTGTACTGATCTTCCTGTACCTAGCATGTCTTCACATGTACTGTTCCCTCTGCTTGCAGCATTTGTCCCCTGTTTTTATGTCCCCCGTCAAGCCTCAGCTTAGCTGTTAAGTCCTCCAAGGTGAGCCGCCTCTTTTTTCTCTAGCCCATGGTCCTTAACGTCTACCGTGATCACTGTGTTTATCATTTTGTGCATTGCTGGGCTATTGTCGGGCTATTGTCCTTTTTCTTCACCCAGACACCGCAGTGCTCATTTTGTTCACTGTTGTAGCTATAGTGTCTAGCAGCAGTGGAACTCAATATCTACATATTTAATGAAAAACAAAGCTAAACTAAAAAACCCAATCAAAGAGACATGGAGGGGGGGAGGGTATAGCTCAGTGGTAGAGCGTGTGCCTATCATGCACAGGGTCCTGGTTTCAATCCCCAGTACCTCCATTAAAAGGTAAATAAATAAATAACCTAATTGCTATTCCCCCCAAAAAAAATTAAAAAAGAAGAGACATGGAGGAAACATCTAATCTGCCAACAGGGCTATTTGCTATTAGATATTTAATTCAAAAGTATTTATTGAGTAGAAGATATGGAGTTAGATGCTATAGCTACAGAGGACATTAAGAGAAAACATTCTTGACATCCTTGCTTTCAAACCAGGTTATAGTTTGGTTAAAACTGGGAAGAAAGAAAGTTGGGAATATAGTAATTATTTTTAATGGAGGAGAAATTGAAAAAATGTGATGATGGACTACAGGAGAAATAGTTTCCCTTTTTAATGGCTAAGGAATGGAAGGGAGGAGGCATCTTATTCATGGTTAAATGTGAGAATGGTAGGAAAGATTTTTCAACTGAAAAAAATCTCAACATTAACAATCAAATTATGGCAGGAGAATGATCTAATCGGAGTCATACTATATATAGTATATATAAATGTTATATACTGCTTTTATGAAGTTGTATCATAAGTATTTTTGTGTATTTACAAAAATTTTTCATTATAATTAATGTCCAAAAGAAAACAAGAGAAACCTATAGGAAAGTAAGAAGGAGAGAAAGGAGACTCATATGGTACCAAGGGACTTCCAATGAATGGAGGAAAATGAGGGGTGCCCCACGTGGTGGGGAGAACTGAGATTATAAGAATATTTTTGTGAAAAGAGATAATCAGCAGTTTGGGGAGACTATATCATGAAAGATATACAGAGCAAGAAAATGTCCAAAAAGGTGCTTCCCAACCCAAACCAATCAATAATGAATATGATTCATACTTAGACCCTTTAAGTTTACAGTATCTTTTATGAAATAGTAACATGCTCAGATGAGGGAGGTGCCCACTGGTGCCTGCATGGGAGGTTTTGGCAAAACACCCTCAGCACCAACCCCAGCTAAAAGCTGCTTCCTCCTCAAAGACCCCCCAACTGACTAAGGCCTTACAAAAGCTGTTTCTTTTCAGGTTCAACTTCCGGGGATTCCGCTGGTTGAAAACCATGCTCCACTCCATCAAGGAGATTAATGAAAGGAAGGGTATTTTGCCCCAAGTCACTTTGGGCTATTAGATCTTTGATAACTGTTTCACCGTCTCCAAATCTGCAGAAGCGGCGTTGGTATTCCTTACCAGGCAGGAAGAAAACAAGCCCAATTTCAGAAACAGCACTGGAGCAATTCTGGCAGGAGTTATTGGAGCAGGCGGGTCATCCTTGCCGACTGCTGCTTCGAGAATCCTAGGGCTGTGTTATTTACCTCCGGTATTTCAGAATATTGTGCTGAGTACTCACTTAAAAAGAAACACAAGCGATGTCTGTGGAAATTGCAGCAAAGAGTAAGGTGCTCAGGTGAGGCTGGGGTAAGCTGCAGAGACAGACGTGATGGTGGTGATGCAGATGCCCCTAGTTGTTCTGTACAGTCTGGCCTCAGCAAGTGTGGCTGGTGGTTTCAGGCTCTTCTACATCCCTTGGGATCCTGCCTTAATTTTTAGCTTGGGGTTGGGACCCAGTGATCTGTATATTGACATCTCACTAGGCAGTACACTCTGAAGCACAGAGTAGGTGATCGAGAAGTACTTGTTGGTTGATTGATAGGTGGTATAGGAACTCATTTTGTCTCTTATTAATACTTATTAACTTCTATTAATACTTATTAATCATGACCTGTTTTGTTCATACACTAGCTACTGAAATGAGCTTGGGAATTTTACAAGAGACGATGTTGGGATGCTAAGGTACAGAATATTTTAAATTCAGGGATAGTGAAACATTTCAATCTAAGAAAAGATGATATTAGGAGGAATGGATTATTAAGAAAATATGAATAAAGCTCTATATTCATTTCCAGGGATGGTTCACAAAAGTATCAATAGTCAGGACTTATTAAAGTGGATGATGATTAAGCTTATTTGTGTTACTGAAGTAATGGGACAAGTTGAAATAATTGTAAAAAGTAGCATCTACATTGCAGCGTATACAGCTGCAAATACAAATGTAGGAGGAACAGGGTAACACTGAGAAACAGAACCAAGAGGAAGGGCCAAGTGACACAGCTGATACCTTTGGTGTAAGCTTCATGCAGCTCAGACAAACTGCTGCTGCACTGAGCTGTCTTCCACAAAATACCGACTCTGGTCCAGGCACCGGCTAGGAACCTCTAGATAGATTTTTCTCATTTAAATCCTGTAGTAAATCTGCAAAGAAGGTAAAAGAAATATTATATACAATAGACACTTTCACATTTGTTGTTTCATTTAGTATGCTGAGCAACCCTAAAATGTAGATGTCATAAGCTCGATTTCTCTCACGGGGAAACTGAGATTCAGAAGGTTTAAGTAACTTGTCCACGATCTTACATGATGATGTAGCCAGAATTAGAAATCA